TATATACAAACCTCCGTGATAATCTGAACATCAAGAATGAAATGAGCTGCTATCATGACTGTTATTACAGTTGTATATCTACATCTATAAAAGTATAAGTTAAAATAAGGAGAGTCTGAAATCCACCACTGTAAACTCTGTCTCGGTAATTCAAGCTTTTATTTTTCCTAATATGCATAGAGAGCAAAATATGGAGTGGATATGGAGCATCCTTTCCAGTGGTGCTTATTCTTCTCTGAAAATATTCCCATATAATGATTGATCTGCTTGAATGGAATTGGACTTTTTCTCACGCCAAATAATTTTTAGATTTTTTTTCAAGTATATTTATAAATTGTGTTTCTGAATTGTGATGGGAAATGGTTGAAACTGCCAGCATATCATGCTGTGCTTAAATTTCTAACGCTGGCTGAATAGTCAGGAAATATGTCAGTATGAGCCAAGAATGACCAAATAGCTCCACACTGGAAACTTTGCTTGTTACGGCCAGTGACTTATCCAGAGTTTGGGTAAATTGTGCCTCAGAAAGCAAGAAACTACAGTAGTTGAATGGGGAAATGGCTATGGTCTCAAGTGTTTAATGCTAAGGCTAGTGCTAAATTTAAATATTTATATAAATATAATGTAATTGCTGCTCCAAAACCTAGTGAGATGCCCATTGCATTTATGACACAATAGATGCTTCAGACACAATGAGTTTCAAAAGCTATCTTAATTCTGTCTTTTAAGATACCTTACCTTGACTAATTCTGAGGCAGCATCACATCCTTTGCAAAGAAGACAATCACAGAATGCCTTGAGATAAACTCAGTGAAGAAATAAATCTAGGGTGTCAGATGATTTGTTGTGCTGCAAAATAAAAATAAAAAATGTTTAAATGGAATTTTTCCTATTTTAGTTTTGCTATTACTATTACTTCAGGGATTTGCTCAAAGTTTTGAACTTGTTAATTTAACGTGATTTGCACAAAAATATGCATTATATCTCAGATTATGCTGCTTTTTGAACAGACATGTGCCATTACTTTAAATTATCTGATTTAATAAAGAGGCAGAATATTGTTGCAGTGAGTTTTGCAAGACTATTTTCTTCAGGGCAAAACAAACATTAATTCTCTGTCTTAACAACCTTAATTTAAAAATCACAGCTAATGTAAAGATTTCGTTAGGTGGAAACAAGTTTGTGAAGTTTTGACAGCCTGATTAATAGCACTTCATATTTAAGAGTTTCAAGTTTAATTTATTTGTATAGCACCATTTACAACAGCAGCAGCTGACCAATGTGCTTTACAGCATCAAATAAAATTAGTAAATAGAACATCAAAAAAATAAATAAATAAAAAAGCAAATAAATAAAATCTCAGCTAAAAAACGAATTATATCAGCATTTAAAAGATATAACAAAATATAAGAAATAAAACCAGGATTGTCATCAAAAATCGAATACAGAGATGGAACATCAAGGGACATTGAAAACATTAATAAAACAAGAAAACATTGTTTGATAGGCCAGCATTTTACACCTTGAGAGAGAATGTGGCAAACCAAAACTTAAAAAGTTTTGTGATCTGATGAGGCTCATATTAATGTAAGACTTGCATATGTTTGACGCAAAAAAGATACATCTAAACAACCAAATAACACATAAACTACATTAGCTACTGGCAGAATCATGCTTTAGAGTTGCTTTCCAGTAGAGGAAACTGAAAAGATTATCATGGGTAACTTGGACACAGCCAAAATACAGGCAAATCTGTAAAGAAAACCTGATTCAGTCAGCCAGAGAGATTTATTTTCCAGTAGGGCAATGACCCAGAACACACAGCAAAAGGCTGTGAAGGAATGGATCAAGAAAAGTGATTATTATAGAAAGCCTGAACTGAAATCTAATTGAAAATCAGTTGTATTATCTGAAAATTGTAGTCCACAGATACTCATCGTTAACTTTAGCTGGAACATATTTGCATTTGCCTGTAGGATTAGGCAAAACTTTCAATGTGCAAAACAATGTGCAAGCAAAAGACTGTAATTGCTGCTAAAGGACAATGAACATAATTACAGACTACAGTATATATTTCAGGAAGCACAACATATAATGCAGAGAATTAATCCTTTAGGTATTATGTTCGTTCTTGCGAAAACTTTATAAAAAAGAGAGACAGAATTGACTACACACCCAGTCTATCTACATTGTGTTATGTAACCACAATAAATCTTGTGACCCTAAGTTACTAAAAGAGAGTAAAGCTTGTACAAAACCTCTGAACGAGTAATGGATAGAATGATGCTCAAAAGTCAGTGACAACCCTGTTTACTGCATTCAACCATAATTACATATGAGAATACAATTTGAACGTAATATGCTGATTTGAAAACAGCGGTAGAGCTTAATAGTTTGTGGTGACATTTACATTTTTTATACATATATAATTATTTTCATTCATTGATGAATGGTTTTAAAGAACAGTATTTTGAATGTATTTGATTTTTATTTGTATTTGTGTTTTTAATGTCTTTACTGTTTTTGATCAATTTGAAATGTCCTTTTTGAATAAATAATTTGAATATATTTGAAAATAGGCCAGAGAAACATTAAAAGAAACTGAAAGGAAACTGACAGGCTAAATTCAAAAACACATGATGGTTAACAATTAGATGGTATGTAATGTAATGTTTATTACACCAAATAAACATCACCCAATTACATGTGGCCTTTGTCCAGTCATTTTACTGGGTGTGCCATGTAGAACCACGTTCACAGCCTTCGTAAATGAAGCGTGCGTATATGTTGTTGAGTAAGGACATGTGATTGAGATTAGAGTAGATTTAGGACAGCGCTGACACACAGGGCACAGACATTGACCAGGGTGCTTTAGAACACCATATACTTACTAGGGTATAATATCTTCTAGTTGCCCTTCACATTAAGTTTGAATCAGACAACAAAGTGTTATTTGTCTGATACGTCCTTAATAAGAGTAACATAATGTTAAGGTGTTGTAGAGCATTGCTTTGGAGTCCTGAGTGGTTTTTAGTATGTTGATATGTGAATGTTCTTGGTGGTTTCTAGGTTTCAAGTCTGTATGACAGTTTTTTTTTTTTAACCATGGGAGCTGGGACCCACTAGGGGGCCTCAGGAAGGGCGTGGGATGCTTTAATATTGTTCAACTGGTTCTGTTATTAATACAATTAATATGAATAGCCTTATTAATGTATTTTAATAATGTAGTTTAATTAAAATGATAAAAATGCATACAATGGAGAAAACATTTTTTTTATGTTTCCCCCCCTTTATAATAATCGTTTTGTTTGTTTCCCCATTTCTGTATTAATAAAAAAGATTAAAAACAAATGTCATAATTATAGCAGAAATACTGGCAGGTGTTTTTAACAACTATGAACTTAGAGATGTAATTTCATGTAGGTTCATTTTTATTGTACAAGTACAATGTATTATCTTGTATGTACACAATAGGTGCATTGTTTCAGAGGATTAATTTAAATGTTAGTACACAGTATGAATATGGTAATCATTCAGTGCCGTGTTATATTTGAAAGTATCATGATGCTTCGCCACTGTCACGCTACTTCCGGAAGGGTGCTTTTAGTTCATTTGAGTTTCCCAGCATTGATATGTGTCAGCATTTATGACCATGACTGACTAGATTATCAGGCATCATCAAAACCTGTAAATCTTAAATACTCCATAGTAAGGAGTGAGAAACAAATAAAGCAATAAGGAAACTATGTTGCCTGTTAATGCTTAATTGTTGTCCCACCATTTCCCTTTCATTTGCATTATGTGAATAGTCAAAAAATGTCTTCATTTGTTACCATAGATCCCTGGTGTAGATAAATATCAAGTGCACAGGCCTGGTGAAGTTTTGCTAAACAAATGTTTGTTTTGGTCAGGACCTGCTGTTCTGCTATAGTGCCATAAGCAAGTTTGGACACACCTCATACTTCGTTATTGCTAATTTACACATTTCATATTCATTTTAAAGTCCTCAAAACTACAAAATAACACAAACAGGAATTATAATAATTATGTAGTGATGTTAAACTGATAGTTCACCCAAAAATGAAAATTCTGTCTTTAATTACTTACCCTCGTGTCGTTCCAAACCCGTAAGACCTTCATTCATCTTCGGAACACAAATTAAGATATTTTTGATGAATTTTGAGAGCTCTCTGACCCTCCCATAGACAGCAAGGATCCTACCACGATCAAGGTCCAGAAATGTAGTAAGGACATCGTTAAAATAATCCATGAGACATCAGGGGTTCAACTGTAATTTTTTGAAGCTACGAGAATACTTTTTGTGTGCAAAGAAAACAAAAATAACGACTTTATTCAACAATTCATCTCCTCCACGTCACCCTGGCACCATTTTGGAGATTATCACGATGTATGCTGTTCTGTGTCAGCAGCACCCACGCGGATACGCTGTTTACGTTCAGATCAAAGCGTAAACAACATATCCGTGTGGTGCTGCTGACACAGAACAGCATACATTGTTTACGTTCAGTGGATACGCTCCAAAATGGCGCCAGGGTGACGTGGAGGAGATGAATTGTTGAATAAAGTCATTATTTTTGTGTTCTTTGCACATAAAAAGTATTCTCGTAGCTTCGAAAAATTACGGTTGAACCACTGATGTCACATGGATTATTTAATTAATGACAGAATTTTCATTTTTGGGGAACTATCCCATTAAAAATTTTAAAATGTTAAACAAATCAAAACTATTTTATATCTTATTTCCTTCAAAGTCACCACACTTTGCCCAGATCACTGCTCTCACTGCTTGCTGATCTTGGCTTCTCTTAAACAACTTAAACAACTTTATGATGTACATTTTAAATAGTGTCGAAAGAGTTCACACATCCTTCACTATCCGCTCCAGTTCTGTGGAAATCTGCAGAGCATTAGCAGATTCCATGCATGTCTGTTTATGATTGGTGTGAAACCTAACAAACTGTCCTCCGCTTCCACCACAGCTGAAAATATCCTTCAACGAGTCCAGCCTGCAGAGCACTTTCGAATACCCGTCTGAGAACAGTGTGTGGGACAGCGGAGAGGACGAGGAGGAAGGAGAAGAAAAAGGAGGAGAAGATGATGGCGGGATCATTGCAGGGAGGATAAGCATTCCTCGTGCCAGCTACACCAGCTCACCCACTCACTCCAACAACACCACGGGTGAGTAAGATGAGAAGAATGACAGGAAATGGATAGAATGAGAGGAAGGCACAGAAACCATGGATGAGGTGAACAGGAAATGGATGCAGTTCACACACTATTTTTATGCACTAAATATATGGACCTTTTGTCCTATTTTTTTGCAACGCAACTTTTAGGAGTCCAGTGAAGTTACTATGAAAATTGGGTTCTGTTTATTGTGATCTTGGAAGAAGTGAGGTCTATTTGATGAAAAAAAAAAATCCTTAACAGATATACAGAGGAATGATTCACTTTCTATATAGTTGTAATGCTTGTTATAATGGTTGAATTGATGACGGTGATTGTTGAGATGATCTCTCAGGTTCATCCTTTCTATACGGCTCTAGATTTGAACAGTGTTGACACCTGCTGGTCAGTCATGATGTGTTACATTTATTGCATTTGGATAGATGACAAAAAAACATGGGCATGAGCTTTTTCAAGGTTAAAATGTATATAAATGTACAAGGGAAAGTGTATATTAGAGATATGTTATAATATTACATTATTATTATTATTATATTTACTCATACTGGTAAAAAATGTATAGCCTGAATGCACTGTAAGTCGCTTTGGATAAAAGCGTCTGCTAAATGCATAAATTATTATTATTATTCAATTATATTTAAATGTATATAATTGTATATATATTATATATGATATATAATTTTGTAATATATAACCGTAAATATAATTTTTAAAATTAATATTCTATTTTAATACATTGTATATTATTGTCTTAATATTTAAAGTGTACAGTAAATGGAGTACAGTTTCTTTGCTAGTTCTATAGTCTAGAACTAATTAATTATTAATGCCTTTCTTCTCTTGTCCTCAGATCTTTCCAGTTACACACCTAAACACTCGGTGGAGTTTAACGCATGGCAAGAACACAAGCTTAATGAGTCTGCTCACCAGGGGGAAGATACTTCACAGAGTACAGAAGAGGTCATGGTAAGAAATAAGAATATGTCCACAATTGTGGTGTAAAATGAGAAGAACATGATATTAGTTCCTGTCCATGTAAAATGAGGGCATTATGTGATCTCTGAGGAATTGCTTGTTGGTTGCTAGGGTGTTCTGGGTGTTTGCTTTCTGGCCCAAGTGAAAATATACCTCCCTCAATTCTCTATGGCCTCTATGGGTATGGGTAACAAAGATAACCATACAAATATTTAGGCAAACATTTAGCACGTTTAGAAACTGCAAACAAGAAGCACACTACCGTTTAAAAAAGTTGACTGTAAAGACATTTATAATGTTACAAAAGATTTCTATTTCACATAAATGCTGATGTTGTATTTATTTTATTTATCAAAGAATCCTGAAAAAAGCATCACAGTTTCCACAAAAATATTGAGCACATTAAGCAAATATTAACTGTAATGATAATAACAATCTGTCATAATAAAAAAAATCGTTGAGTATAAAATCAATATATTAGAATCCTTTGAAAATGTAGCTTTATCATCACAACAGTAAAGTACTTTTTAAATATATTAAAATAGAAAGCAGTTATTATAAATTGCAATACTATTCCCAAGATTACTGTTTTTACTGTTTGATTAAATTAATGCAAATGTAATTTATTAATGCAAAAATAAAAATGAAAAATCTTATCAAACATACAATTGTAGTATCTAAAATATTAAGTATTCCTATGAATATTTTAGGGGTTGTGTTATTGTCAGTAGTTTTTGACCAAACTAATATTAGTGACCGCAGATGTATTTCCCGTAATTTTAGCACATCTCTCTTGAACAAGCCAGATGGTTTGAGGTATTGATTACTGTATTTCCGTTGCGCAAATAGTACAAGACAGGTCGCACATCAAAGTTTAATACTTAGGTTCAGAAGTAGAACAAACCCCTGAGCAACAGTAATAATGTTGTTCTGTAAAGAACCAAATCCTGACAAAATTCCATATTTCATCATGCATACTTTCTCTTTTTTTGTTCACCAGCTGACACCTGCTGATAGCTCCTCTCTGTCAGACTTCAGCAGTGAACCAGCCCTCTACTTCTAAACCTTCCAGATGTCTGGAAAATACGGGACCAACCATTGCCTGCCAGCACCAGCCTGGATGCAGAGAAACAACTTCCAGAACAATGGGACCAGTAGCAACCAGTACGGAAACGTACATTCCGTATTCTATGCCCATACACCATCATCGTCAACAGCAGGACTGTCCTCATTGCTGATCCACACAGTCACATTTAATCTCCTGTTGCCACCGATTGTGATTGTGATGGACATGGAAAATGGCTCAAACAGCCATTCCACTCTTGAATTTCACTCTTCCATCACATACTTGCTCTACGTATGTAATCCTCACCTCATGAAAGTGACCAAATTTCTAAAAGAGAGAAAGATGAGAGACTTTTCTTAAAATAGAGAAGGAAACTTGGAGTGTGTGTAATGGGACTCCAGAAAGAGACGATATTAAGGTGAAGCAACAAAAAATGAAATAAGTGACTTATGTATGACTGGTAAAAGGGTGCCACAATCCGTGTTCTTTGTGATGTTTTTGTATGTGCATGTGTAGGTCTGTATTGACATGACTCCCAAACTATAGAAGTCCTCCACTTTAGTTTCATATGTTTCCTTTGTATGTCTGTGTTTCAGTCAAGGTAGGCATTTCTAATGCACATACTATACAGCTGAAATACTAACATGTTAGTGTTGACTTAGTGATCGTAGATCTGTTTTAAAGAGCAGCTTTTAATTGGTAAACACATTCAATTCAATTTTGCTTTGCTTTTTTATGGTAATAGAATTTATTAGTCACTCAAAATTCTAGTCATAATTCGGATTACAAATGCAATCATAAATGCAAGTCAATCTTGTGAAGACATGCCCAGATTAAATTTCACCCCTATAGCATAAATACAATGAAGTCTGTTTTTAGGACTACCATTGTAATTTTTATGACATTTACACGTTTCCCAATATTCTCAATGATTCCCATTATCATAATCTAGTGTTTTTACAGTATAAAAATACTGCAATACAGTTTTCATTGTATTATTAAATAATTGTTTACATTATGGTAATGATAATTTCAGTGGGATGGGTTGTACCTTATTCACCTTCTAATAATCCTTAAAATACTGATTAAGCAAAATATAACATATGACCTGGAAGTGTTCTTGACAGGCTTTGTGAGATTTGTGCTGTGCAAAAATTGCATTAGTTTGTCAATATTTCTGCTTAAGTTTTGAACTGGACATTCTTGCAGTACGAATGGGGAGTGGTCAATTTTAGTTATGATGGAAACATTAGTTTGTGAGTGGGCACGCTGTATGCATGGGCCACGTGTGTGTGCGAAACACGAAGACTACATACACACAATGCCAACTGACTTGAGTGTGTCATATCTGTTAAATGACTTTGGCGTATCTGCTGACGTCTCTCCTCAGCCTCTCCGACCAGTATTGATGTATAGTTTGTACACTCCAGGATGAATGTTTCATAATTTATTTCATGCATCTTTTATCACTTTTTCATATTTTTAGTCACAGGGCAAACAGTAGCACCAAGGTGCTTTGGGATTATTATTTTTTTTGATAATTTGACACCATGTACAAAGTTACATGAGTGTTAGGACAGCTTACATCTTAGTCCTGTGGTTTTGTATTCATTCATTTGCACTGTTCTGTTTTTGCTTTATTTTGCACCTTACGCAGCTCTTGGTTGGAATAATACCTTTTAGGGATCTCATATCACTTTCATATTGTAATTTATTTCACAAAAAATAGTATGTGTATCCATTGGGAGCATAACATTGACTTGAAGCACCAGCTATAGCCCTTATCAGCTCAAAACTGCTGATCAATATTTTCTGCACAATTATTTTTTTAAGACTCTGGCTTTGTTCACACTGCACACAATTCTGATTTGGTTTCCTAATTCAATCTTTAGGACCGACTGTCTGTGCTGTTATTTTGAAGAAGGTGGTGAATTTGGATCCATCTGTTCAGTGTAGTCAATATCTGGTATAATTTAGACTTAACCAATGACATCAGCTTGTGTATGTCAGGTTTTGATTGTTCTTGTAAAAAAAATCCCCCCCCCCCCCAAAAAAGTTTGGGGTCAGTAAGATATTTGTTTTTTGAAAGAGAATAATACTTTTATTCAGCAAGGATGCAGTAAGTTGAGCAAAAGTGACAGTAAAGACTTTAACATTGTAACAGAAATGTCTATTTCAAACTAATGATATTTGAACTTTCTATTCAGCAAGTATGACGATTAAGCAAAAGTTCTCAATGACAATAATAAGAAATGTTACTCGAGAAGCATATTACAATGTTTTCTGAAGGAAAATTTTGCTGAACATTTAACTTTACCATAATAGGAATTATATATTGCAGGTTGCAGTATTTCACAATATTACTGTTTTTACTGTATTTTTGCTAAATGCAGCCTTGGTTAGCTTAAGACTTTTTTTTTTTTAACCATAGTGTATTTGAAACTTGCTGCCTGTCTGAACAAAGCATTTGAACCCATGGTTTTTCATGTCACATAATTAAGTCAACCAAGTCTTACTGTTCATTCTAGTTCAGTATGTCACTTTAGCACATTCCAGTCTATAACAGATCCTCCAGATGTTCTTTTCAAACATGAAATATTCTTGAGGGATGTATATTAGATGTTTAGAGGGTTTGGGAACTATTGTTTTTGTGTCTTACAAAATGTAATGCCACTTCAAGTGCTTCATTAGTTCCTGTAACTCTAGTCAAGCTGCTCATTGCTCTGGTGGTTAATGTACTGTATGTCAAAACTTTTCTTCATCCTTTTTTTCTTCATCAGGAGAATATTAAATGTACAATTTGGTTTTGATGAATTTAGAGGGGAAACAATTTAAAATACAAGGAAATGTTCAATAAACAAATGAAGGCTATGAAGGTGTTCACAGTTTATCTTATAAGGATAATATTTACATAAAGAAATTCTCTTTAAAACATCAAAAATTCACAATATATCTTTATTAAAACATTACATTTAAATAAAAACATTACATTAAACACCAATCTATATCAAAACAATTTATAAACCTATACATTAGATACAGAACTTCCAAATAGGAATGAGAAGTTGCATTCTGATTTTGTGTGGTGATTACAAGAGGGAAGGCTGGTAAAGATGAAAGAGAAGACGTGAGAGAGGAGAACAATGCAATATGGATATTTATACAAATAGAAACATTCAGCATTATTCAATGATCTTTGCTGCTTCTTGGTTCAGTGGCTTTGGTCAGATTCCCTGTTTCCTTCTTTAAAACACTCAAAAGTGTCTGAGAGCTTTCAAGAATCTGAGAGAGATAGAGAGGAGAGGTTTAGTCAAACTAGAACACACAGATACAAAAAAAAAATGCACAGTTACATTTAAACCAAACCAAACAAACAAAAACAATAATACAAATTGCTTTGTGTAACTATTTTCTGCAGTTGTCCAAACACTGGCATCATTATTTAAAAAAAAAAAAAACACTAAGAGGCTAGATCTTTTTAAGATGTAGAAGTGACTATATTATATCTAATAAAGTTTGAATGTACTGACAAACCAGTATATCGACCAGGGGTGCATTTCCCAAAAGCATCGTTAGCTAACTATGGTAGTTAGTTCCATTGAAATCTATTGGTAACGACGGAACTTGCGACCATAGTTGGCTAACAATGCTTTTGGGAAACGCACCCCAGGATGATTAAGCTGCTAATATACACCTAAAATGGTGGAAGACTTAACTCGGGGGAGAAGAATTGTTGAATAAAGTCGTTATTTTTGTTTTATTTGTGCACAAAAAGTATTCTCGTAGCTTCGCAAAATTGAAGTTGAGCCACTGATGTCACATGGACTGTTTTACTGATGTCCTTACTACGTTTCTGGACCTGGGAACATTACAGTTGCGTTGCTGTCTATGGGAGGGTCAGAGAGCTGTCAGATTTCATTAAAAATATCTTAATTTGTGTTCTGATGAACAAAGGTCTTACGGGTTTGAAACGACATGAGGTAAAGTAATGACAGAATTTTCATTTTGTGGTGAACTAACCCTTTAAGTTCTCACTTGTGCAACATTATTAAAGCTAGTTGTTGTTTTTTTCTGATCCCTCCCAATGCAATGAGAAGTAGTAGTAGTATATTTTTTATTTAATGCCATGTTAGCATCTTAGGCTATTTTCATGGCAAAAACAATAGAAAAAAATACAAGTATAACAAATACAATAAAATCCAGCAAACAAACATACACGAGTTATATTACACAAGATTTGTTCCCCTCCCAATGAAGAGAACATGAAATATTAAAAACAGGTTGACTGTGTCCTTCCTTACCTTCATGTATGCAGCCTCTGTCTCCGCGATGGTGCGGTCAAAGTCAGCGCGGGCAGCGAGGCGGCGTGCCAGGCTCTCGTTCACACGACTCAGCTTCTCTGTCAGCACACGGATATCATGCTGCAGACGACTTTTCTCTGCTTCCTCCTGTTGGATCAGCCGGTTTAGCTCTTCTCTTTTAGAGCACAGTTCCTCTATGCCTGAGAAAGACAATGAGAATGAAAGGGGCCATTTTTAAGAAGGAATTAAAAGGCGGCGTTAGACACATGCCGAAAATATGTTTTCCTTGCGTTTCTTTACATTCATGTTGTGATTGCTGAAAGGGAGTGTGTATAAGTTGCAGATGAGAGCTTGGTCAGCAGTTCCTCCTACTAATTACAGCAATAACGTGCAGAACTTTATCAAACACTGATTCAAGCAGTCAGGTCACTCTATGTGAATTCTAATGCATCACACCATGTTCAATGATTGTGAAACAAAAAATTTATTGATGGACTGGCCATCTGTCAAGTGTGTTTCCCCAACTTACCCTACAGTGTGTGTGTGTGCACCTGTGAAAAGAACAGCATTTATTCAAAATAGAATTGTAACAATATACACTCCACCGCTCAAAAGGGGGAGAAGAATTGTTGAATAAAGTCGTTATTTTTGTTTTATTTGTGCACAAAAAGTATTCTCGTAGCTTCGCAAAATTGAAGTTGAGCCACTGATGTCACATGGACTGTTTTACTGATGTCCTTACTACGTTTCTGGACCTGGGAACATTACAGTTGCGTTGCTGTCTATGGGAGGGTCAGAGAGCTGTCAGATTTCATTAAAAATATCTTAATTTGTGTTCTGATGAACAAAGGTCTTACGGGTTTGAAACGACATGAGGTAAAGTAATGACAGAATTTTCATTTTGTGGTGAACTAACCCTTTAAGTTCTCACTTGTGCAACATTATTAAAGCTAGTTGTTGTTTTTTTCTGATCCCTCCCAATGCAATGAGAAGTAGTAGTAGTATATTTTTTATTTAATGCCATGTTAGCATCTTAGGCTATTTTCATGGCAAAAACAATAGAAAAAAATACAAGTATAACAAATACAATAAAATCCAGCAAACAAACATACACGAGTTATATTACAAAAGATTTGTTCCCCTCCCAATGAAGAGAACATGAAATATTAAAAACAGGTTGACTGTGTCCTTCCTTACCTTCATGTATGCAGCCTCTGTCTCCGCGATGGTGCGGTCAAAGTCAGCGCGGGCAGCGAGGCGGCGTGCCAGGCTCTCGTTCACACGACTCAGCTTCTCTGTCAGCACACGGATATCATGCTGCAGACGACTTTTCTCTGCTTCCTCCTGTTGGATCAGCCGGTTTAGCTCTTCTCTTTTAGAGCACAGTTCCTCTATGCCTGAGAAAGACAATGAGAATGAAAGGGGCCATTTTTAAGAAGGAATTAAAAGGCGGCGTTAGACACATGCCGAAAATATGTTTTCCTTGCGTTTCTTTACATTCATGTTGTGATTGCTGAAAGGGAGTGTGTATAAGTTGCAGATGAGGGCTTGCTCAGCAGTTCCTCCTACTAACTGAAGCAATAATGTGCAGGACTTTATCAACCCCTGATTCACGCTGTCAGGTCACTC